AAAACAATATTAAACTAATTAAATTAATTAATTAAAAAAAGTAGTGGAATAGGAGAGGAAAGAAAGGGAAAAGAAAAGACACTTTGGACTCACTAGCTTTTCTACAGAGAGACAGAGAGAGAGAGAGAGAGAGCTTTTGTGGCAGCGATGGCTTTGTGCCTCCAAAAGTTCAAGGCACAACTTTGTTGCCTTCAAAGGAGAGCAAAGCAAAAAAGGAAACAGCGTCTCTTCTGTAACAACCCCCACCGCTTCCAAAAACAACAACAACAACAACAACGGCTCCGTTTCCAAAAGAGGGAGAGACAAAACTTGCTAGTTGGCAGATTAAAATAGGAGTAAAGGGAAAAGGGAAAGGAATTGGCTCAGGGAACAACAGCCAAAGAGCAAATACAGATGCCAGTCAAAGATAGATAGACAGATAGATAGACAGATAAGGTGAAATAGCAAAAGAGCAATCACACGCCAATCAGATTGATTGATTGATCAGATAAAACAGCAAAAGAGCAATCACATGCCAATCAAATAGACAGATTGATTGATAGATAGATTGATCAGATAAAACATTAAAAGAGTAATCACATTCCAAGCAAGTAAGATAGATAGATTGATCAAGTAAAAGAGCAATCACATGCCAATCAGATAGATAGATTGATAGATGGATCAGATAAAACAGCAAAAGAGTAATCACATGCCAAACAAATTGATAGATTGATTGATAGATTGACTGATTGATCAGATAAAACAGCAAAAGAGCAATCACATGCCAATCAAACAGATAGATAGATAGATAGATCAGATAAAACAGCAAAAGAGTAATCACATGCCAATCAAATCGATAGATAGATAGATTGATCAGATAAAACAGCAAAAGAGCAATCACATTCTAAGCAAGTAAGATAGATAGATAGATAGATAGATAGATAGATAAGAGGAAACTGATGACATACTAGCAGAGATATCTCAAGAAGGAGCTCTGCTCTCCTTGGTTTATTGTGCTTTTTTGGCAAGTGATAGCAGATGCACAAAATTGCACTGCCCTAGATGGTGCGTTCCAGTCTGATAATAAATATTCTAAATGAAAAGCTCCAGATCGCCGTGGTTTTCTTAAAAAAAGAATTGGAGTAATCAGATCTTTACGGAAACAGTTTCAGGTTTTGTGCCTTCAAGTCATTTCCGACTTATGGGAACCTAAGGCAAC